ATGTAATTTTATTTCTGTTTATTTCTGCTTATCCGGTTCTTAATTGATGTAATACTTTGTTAGAAGAGGTAACAGCTCGTGCCTCTTCATGGGTTTCCTGTATTGCCTTATGTTCTGATTTAATAAATTATTTTCATTCATAAAAAAAAGATCAAAGCATCCCAGAAAGCTCTACAGAGGTATTTATAGTAATATTAATTTAATGCATACCATTTATCCAAAAAGACTATACAGTGATCCAAAACATAATATATGGAACTAAATCTGTACATGGTTGAAAATTACTGCTTATTTTCCAACTTTTACTGGTCAATACCACTTTAACTTTATATATGCTTGAGTCCTTCGTATTCTGACTATTGTTTGTGTTGGCATTCCCCTACACAACTCTTGATTTAGAGTTCTTTTGTCTCTGAGGAACCATAATTGGGCAATGTTTTCCTTGCTCATGGTTTCTTGCTCCTTGCCGCAACAATAAAAGCCAAACTACATTTGGTATCTTTTGGTGATTTTATTGGGCAAAGTGTGTATTTTCAATTAACTCATTTCTCTGGATAGCTGGACCTTGGGGCATAATGTCATTTCACATTTTCAATATCAAAATAATGGTCCTATAAGACAACAGATGAAATTTTGTTGTTGTTATTCTTCATGTCTGATCATGCAACCTCTATACCTTATTTTTTCTGCAAGATAACAAAAACCACTAGGCAATGTCTCCTTGACATCATAAAAGATTTGTTGTGACTCTGGATTTGGTAAAAGAATCTGCTAAAAAAACTTGATGTCAATTGTATGAAAGGATTCAATTTTGGTTGGATGGTTGGTGTGATAATAGTGCCCTCTCTGATCTATTCTGAAACATATTCACAGTAGCGGAGGCGGATTTAAAAGGTGTGCCTAGGCGCACAGGCAAGACACATTTCAAGGCCTGCGCCTTGCTTAGGCCCAAATACAGCCCCTTTAAAAAAGTGTACACTTGGTGCACTTGGTGTGCCTTGTGCCTTAACCTGGGCAAGCACCATAGTTAAGTTTTGCACTTTTTATGCTTTTTTAATCATGGTGGTGGGCCCCATTTTTGCTAATATTGTTCATTCATTCTTCCTAATACAAGACATTTTTTAAAAGACACTGAACTGTAACAAGTTTATAAAACCAATTTTATAAGTATGGATTAAGAATTTAAGACCCTGTCTTGGAATTGTTTGGACTTGCCTCAAGGGGTTCAGTACAAAGTGGCTCATAGAATTAGAGTAACGTGATTAGGAAAGAAATGAAGAGATTGAAAGTTTTGTGTGCTTGAATTGTTGAATGATTGAATATGTTTTATATGTTATGTTTAATTTTACTTTTACATTTTCACTATGGATTTGTTTTATATGTTATGTTTATTTATTTTAATTTGAGATAATAGGCTTTTTAAAACATTTAGTTTAAAATTTATGCATGCATTTTTAATTGATATTATTTTTAATATCATTTTTGTTTTTTTTTTGCAAATTTTTGAATTTAGTGCATTTTGTGCATTTTCTTGAAAATTTTAAAAATTTTGTGCCTTGCTTTAAAAAGGTGCATGCCTTGCCTTGCACATTGAGCACAAAAAGCCCCATTCGCTATTTTTGCACCTTGTGCTTTTAAAACACCGAGTGGAGGATAAGGAGGCAAAGGTGCCTTTCCATTCTGCTGCCTGCAGATGGTCAGTCTAGTGAAACTTCATGAAGAGCACCCAAACTTAGGGGAAAGAGAGGTGCCTTTCCATTCTGTGTTGTTTGATATCTTGTTTTGGGTTATAGTGTATTGCAGTTAGCTGTTTTGGAGTGTTTGATTATGTTGACACAGTTCCTCACTGCATGGCACCCTGTTGTCAGTTTCTTTTATCTATCTTTTAATTCTTGGTTTTTGTAATACCTTATATCTTTTTTCAATTAAAAAAAATCATTTATGCAACTTTTCTATCACCTACTAGTGTCTTTTTCTGGCCTCATCGCTTCAGACCAGAGTTAATCTGACTCTTTACACAAACATCTTACTCCTGAGTTTGTCTTTTCATTTTCTGATAGTGTCTTCATATTTTGTCATGCAGGTGATGTGATGATGAGTTTATTCTTGAATGAGCTTTATGGTTTTCAGTTAGACAGTCATCGATGGTGTGTTCCAACTATTCTTATTTATTCATTAGTCATTTTGGAAGTGTATTGAATGTTAATCTTTTATTGGCAACATATCAGAAGAATATTATAAAGAAGACAATTTCTATGATACTGGAAAGGTATGATACCTGAAAAACTTTAACCAATCAAAAACCTATCATGAATTTGAATGAATATCAGATGATTGGTTACCAATTGGATGATATTGGTTGATTGGTTATCAGTTTTTTAGGTATGATTCTTTTTTGGTATCATAGTCGAACTCTATTAAGAAATAGAGTCCCTTTTTTGTACATGGGATTTTTAATGCCAAAGAAGTACAAGACGAAAAAATTCAGAAGGAGAAATGTGCTAGATTAGAAATCTTTTTTTTTTTTGATAAATAATGGAGATGATTGTATTCAATTCAAGCATAACTTTTTTTTTTTGAAAGGTAATGTCACTTCTATTATTTTTTTGATCAGTAATAATGTTACTTCTATATTATCTGCAAAATTATTAGTCTGGCATCATAGCTACTTAACCTGTTCCCCTTTGGGAACTTGCATCTTATTACAAAGTAGCCCCCCCCC